GCATATTCAAAGTGATGAACAGCATCGCTTGTCTTTTTTTTCTTTTTTTGTCTTGAATTTATCCTATTAGTTTACAAGAACGCTGCAGAATAAACGTGAGAAATTCACAGCGAGGGTCGGGGTGAATGTTTTGGGTTTAGATCAGCACTGACTCTGGTGCTTCTATAAACACGGTAGTTAAAGGCTTTAAACTGTGATGGCAGAGTAAATAAACTCACTAATCCAGAGTGGGTAAACACTGCCTGATCTCCAGTCCCACAGCATTATTCTTAAATCACTCTAACGGTGAGCTGTGGCATGTTGAGGCATTAACCCACCGCATCTTGTGCCAAACCACGCATCAGTGGTGGAAGGTTTCAACACTCAGAGATGAAGAGGTGAATGTTTTTGTTTTCTCCTGGCTGCTTCAGCTCACCTGTCTGGTTTTTCAGACGTGACAAATCACTCGCCGGCGATTATGATTGACAGTTTCAAAGTATTGTTTTATTTTTCTTTCACAGATGAGACAGAGCGCCTCAGGAGGTCAGGTGCGCCCATCTCTCCCCAACGGCCCCACTACCAACTCCCTCCCCTCCCCCAATCCCAGCCTGCACCCCATGCGGCCCCACCTGGGACTCCACCGGCCACCGTGTCCGCCTCAGCCACTGGCCAACGGGCCCGTGGGCTCCGCGCCGCACGGACACTCGGACCCGCTCCCCGCGGGTGACAGTAGTAACAGTAGTAGTAATAGTAGTAGTAGTAATAATAATCAGCCAGGGCCCGCGCCCACAGGACCCAACGGAGACGTGCCTTACCTGCAACCTGCCGGCAGCGGCGGTGCAGCACTGCTACCTCACACCTGCACAAACACGCAAACACAGGACGCCATGCCGCGCCAGGCCCTGCACCTAAACTCCTCTCAGGTGAGACGCCTCACTGATGGTCAGCGCTGGTGACGGTGCCTGCTCTGCTCTCAGCTGCTGTGTTAAGTAATAGATAAAAGCGTGATTTAATCCACAGAGCTATGTTCATAAAAGCTGTCAGAAACCATTGACAGAAGTTATCAGCCCATATTTTACTTACATTTTTATTCATTTTAATTTGTATTTTATTGAATTCATTTTTTCTACGTCTGTTTTCTGTTATTATTTTATACACATGTGAGTGTGCATCCACATGGGCACATTTCTGGCTCTGACACAGAGCCTGTATAAAAGCCCAGCTTACACATCATAATTACAGCCACACGTGTCCATGGTTAC